GGGGGGGGGGGGGGGGGGACCGAGCGTCATGCTGGCATAATTCTGCTGTGGTACTAACCTCTCCCCTAGCTGTGTTTCGTGTTGACATGCACACAACACAGAGTTTTTATCAGGATTTTTTTGTGACGACCATGATCGACACCGTGCGACATGCATCATACCTCGGGGAGGAAGGGAAGCAGCAGTCGAAGAAACACTTGCACCGAGTCCTCCTGGAACCACACACCAAACGGTTCAGTTCAGGCCAGGTGCCATCCGACGCGCCACCACCAATTAAGAAACAAGACACCGAGAGAGACACACACAAACACACAGACAGACAGAGGAAGCGTTCCAAAACGAAGGTCAGGGGGAGACGGGCAGCAGGGTGACACGAAAGCAACGAACCGAACCATATGTTGGCGGCTAAGGTGTAACCAGTGCTACATACTCGTTCCAAAGTACACATTACATGCAAGACGATAGACAGACCATAAAACCGAGAGGGATAAAGAAGAGAGACGCAAGGCTGGACGACACATCACGCCCTTCCTTCTCTTGGAAACACGTTACATGTGGATACAAACCACCCTCTCTACACACTCAATAGTTGGCCAAGCATCGGCATATGTAGTGCGCAAGGAGCACGGCGAACAGTAGGTAACGCATGATGACTACAACACTGAGTGGCACGGTGCACCGTTCCATTCATTGCATAGAAGTACTTTGTGTCCCCGGCGAAATAGATTGAAGCACCTTCGAGGTCTTTCGTAGCGATATGGCCATCCTTAGCACTCCGGTCGAGACCTCCCTCCGAACCAACTTCTCCGGCGTGTGCAGCAGGGAGAACTCCAACGCAGGCCCGAGGCCGGGAGACGAGAGCATCACCGAGGACAGCTCCGGCTGAAGCTCGGTAAGCGTGCACAACAGGGACATGGTGTGCTGCACCACCTGATGAAACATGTCGCCCGACCGCGGTGGCGACCGACACACCAAGTTGGGGGAACAGAGAAGGGACCTCTTGAATTAGTTAGCAACCCGCGTCGCAACACCCTACATGCAGCATCGGTATCATATCAAATGGTGTAGTGTGGTGCTGCTTCATCTTTCTGTTTTCGTGTGTGTAACACCTTAGAACCTTTTTGTGTTACTTCGTATGGTACACCAAGTAGAGCGAACTTCCTTCGGCTTCATATGTGCGTGCGAGCGTGTTTCTGGGCAAGAGGACATGCTGTTCCCCCATGCTGTTCCCACTACCTACAGCAAGCAAGAGCTAGGCGGGTGTGACCGTGTGCTAACACCACACCACTCATTGAGCACAAGAGCACAATATTCCAGGGCTAAATTAGCACGCCTTTACCGCGCGCGATGACCTCGCACACCACCATCGATGAAACAAACGTCGAACGACGCACCTCTGCCTGGGGTGGTGGTCGGTGTTTGCCGTCCGCTTCCTCCACGGCAGCGACAGCAAGGGCCGAAGGCGCGTTGTGGTGACCATACCTGATATGCAAGCGGGGGGTGGGGTGGGGGTACCATGGAACCGGGTTGAACGGGGTGGGGGTAGGGGGGTCCAGAGCGCAAGAGGTGAGACGGTCACGTGCCGACCGGGGGGGGGGGGGGGGGGGGGGGGGGGGGGGGGGGGGGGGGGGGGGGGGGGGGGGGGGGGGGGGGGGGGGGGGGGGGGGGGGGGGGGGGGGGGGGGGGGGGGGGGGGGGGGGGGGGGGGGGGGGGGGGGGGGGGGGGGGGGGGGGGGGGGGGGGGGGGGGGGGGGGGGGGGGGGGGGGGGGGGGGGGGGGGGGGGGGGGGGGGGGGGGGGGGGGGGGGGGGGGGGGGGGGGGGGGGGGGGGGGGGGGGGGGGGGGGGGGGGGGGGGGGGGGGGGGGGGGGGGGGGGGGGGGGGGGGGGGGGGGGGGGGGGGGGGGGGGGGGGGGGGGGGGGGGGGGGGGGGGGGGGGGGGGGGGGGGGGGGGGGGGGGGGGGGGGGGGGGGGGGGGGGGGGGGGGGGGGGGGGGGGGGGGGGGGGGGGGGGGGGGGGGGGGGGGGGGGGGGGGGGGGGGGGGGGGGGGGGGGGGGGGGGGGGGGGGGGGGGGGGGGGGGGGGGGGGGGGGGGGGGGGGGGGGGGGGGGGGGGGGGGGGGGGGGGGGGGGGGGGGGGGGGGGGGGGGGGGGGGGGGGGGGGGGGGGGGGGGGGGGGGGGGGGGGGGGGGGGGGGGAGGGGGGAGGGGTTGTGATGCGATGGTGACATATAGTTCTTTGGCACCGGCGTCGACAAAACGATGAAACAATGAAAAAACGGACACGAGTGGTCACGGCAACTCCCTTTCCGCCAGCGAAGACGGCGAGTTCTTGAACACGAACCCTTGCGAAGAAGACTATCGGAGTGGACAGGCCAAGAGCTTCGTTTTCAAATACTTCGTGCTTGGATAAACACGAGACAAGGAACAGCTGAACCCTTCTCGAGCAAAAACATGAAGGTACGGAAGACGGATGGGGAGATTGTCCCGCTGTATCGCCGAGCGTGGTACCGAAAGGTGCAGAACTGGACCCCTGAATCGACGAAACAGGAACAAAAAAAAAGGGATACAGCAGTACCTGGCATTGGAATCGTCGCCGCCAAAGCCTGCGTGTTCTCGCACAGTCTCTGCCGTTGGCCTGGACACCTGTGGTACAATACAGTACAGTGCAGCAGTACAAGTGCAGCAGTGCAACAGAAAGAAGCGAACTTTTGAGCAATCAACTGCTCGGGGTAGATGGCGCGGCGAGGAAGTGCGCTTGCGACGAGAAAAAAAGAGAGGTCTGGAATGTGTCCTCGTGAAAATATCTCTTGTTCCATGTGTCCTCTATTGACATCTGGTTGTCGCGGGACTTGGTCTTCAAAAAACCCCACCATAAAAATAAAGCAGAAAAACCCAACCACAAACACATGTTTATCCTCCCGCATATATAGGTATCGTCTGCGTAGTCTACAAGGTTTCGGGCCGTAGGCACCACACGCCACCAGGACCGCAGCATCTGCCTTGCGAGGCCTAGGCTTCACGCGGACACGCCATCTCGCCCTACTGGCGCTCCCTCCGAAACGCAACTGGCTTCTCTACCAAGAGGCGCGCGACATACAAGTACTCGATATATCCACGTGTCCAGGTGCAATTCTGCACTCAGCAAGTGCAGCAATACCAGCTGCCTAACAGGGGACCGGACCACCGTCCTACTGTACAGGTGCCGCGTACCTCGTGCATGACGACCAGCATCCGCTGCACTAGCTTCGGCAGGTCCACACCAGCGTAGAGCTCCCTCAACACATCCTTTGCGCTCTTGGCCCCGCCCTGACGAAAAAAAAAAAACAGTCGCAGCAAAGTGAGTGACATGATGACAAGGCATGGGTACCGTAAGCGTCGACAAGGTGGCACCCCCCTAGACCGATTTTCAAAGACCGATTGCTCCACAAACAAGATCCGTTGTGCCAACACCAAAAGTGGAGGTACTGGAATATTGGAAACACTTCGTTGACGGCTTCCGCTACACGTATCGGGCTCTTTACGGTCAACACCCACTCGATCACGGAGCAATCGAGCTTTGAAAGTCGGTCTAGGGCGGTTGCCATCTCTCCGACTCTTTACGGCAGGTCGTCGTCGGTCGTATACAAAAAAAAAAAAGACGCTCGGCGTTTCGTGTGACAGCGCGATTTGTACTCAATAGGCATGACAGCTGTCATCGAGTGCTGTTAATGAAGCACGGTGGTACCTAGTCCTCGAGACGGGCGACAGCATCAATCTCAACAAAAAGTGATTCCCGCTGCTTGTTTCTTTCGCAAAGAGGGCGGAATTAACGCCGCAAAAATAAGACACCCACACAAACAGGCGGGGTCCGTGCTACAGTGACTTGTTTGCTGCACTGCATGTACGCATGGCCGATCGCCTGCGACGAGCCGATTTAGGCAAACGGACATGTGCCTGCGACTACTGCTGCTGTCAGCGTGGCGCGTACGCACACAAACACAAAACCACAGACCAGAGGCATACCCATGAATGAGTATCACTACAGTACAAGGAGAAATGCGTAAACGCAAAGCACTCCAAACACGCCACGGCATGGCATGGCATGGCACGGCGCGAAAAACAAAACAAAAACGGCCGAGTGCAACCATGTGACCACGAGAACCGGCGGCGCTAATTTGCCTGCTGTTCCCCCCTCCAAACAATGAGATGCATACAATCCGTCCGCCAACGAAGCACTCGCCCTCAGCGACAAAACTAGAGCAACGCTGGCTCCGGTTTCCCATCTAGAACCTCACGTTGACGCCATCGACGGAAGGGGTGGCCTTCCGAGAGGTGAAGTGCGCGATCAGCTTCAGCAGCGCGGCCAGACACGCCTTGTGGAGGGACTATAATGTTGATAGTGCATAGTGCAACACGGACACCACAAGAGCACGAGTCGAGGTAGGTACACAGCCGTGGGGTGGCGAGAAATCGACCGCACATTGGGGGGCGGGGGCGGGGGCGGGAGAAGGAGATGGAGTGAGAGTGGGAGGGCAACAATTGGGAGACCACGGTGTTAGTCGTACGTGACTTCACGACAAGTAGAAGTGTATGGGTTTAACAGTCGACACCGCTCGCCGGCGACAGCAGCTGCTGCATAAAACAAGGGCCGTAAGGAGACCAACACTGCAGGCAGATACGTGGCACAGACGACGATTGTATAATGGAGCGGTGAAGAGCCAAGCGCGTGTTCGTGCGGCAGGCACCTGTCACGCCTTCGCCCGACGAACGTGTTCAAGAACGTGCTCAAGAACGTCGTCAACAACCCAAGAACGCGTTGGCGTTTCTGATTCTCTCGGCGCTGTAGCTGTTCGCTGCCATCGACAGATAGCCAATTCTTACAGACGCACAAACCGAACGCCTTGTGGACTACAAAAGTCAAGATATTGTCGGGTGTCTCCCTCGTGACAGGCCCTAACCTGCTGCCGTCGGGAAAACAGACTTTCGACCTTGCCTCGATGAATATCCGTGAAAATGTCCTTCCCAACACCAAAACCAAAGTACGACGAGGTTATGTCCTTCCCAACACCGAGAGAAAATTCAATGAGAACATGCAACCCGTTCAACTTGACAATTCGGTTCAAATCCCGTTCCCGGAACACACCGCCTGTGCCCGGAGGATGCCGACTTGGACAAAAACTATCGCGTACAGTCACCTGAGACGGATCGATGCCGTTGTCGCCGTCCCTGTCTCTCCCGAGCAAGCCAAGGAGGTGCTGCATCCCCCCCGTCTCGAGAAAGACGCGTACCCACTCGCTGGCATCCATGCGGTCCCCTGGCAGCGCGTAGACGTCCCCCTCGGGCTCTACCAGGGTGTACACCACCTGAAGAAATCACGCGACGCAATGTATACCGCCATGTATCCCGCATTGAAACAAAAATCGTTTCCGTGTGGCCAGAGCGGAAAGTGCTCATGAGCAGCTATCTATGACCCTCAGAATAAGAGAGGGCCGTCAACACAGCTGCTGTGTCAGACAGGCTACCGCTGAAAAAATGTACGCAACATCACGGCGAAAATTTCAAGACCTCCCCCAAACCTTCCTCTCTTGACAGTAAGACTAACCCCGCAAACTTGCCTGGTTTCAATCGTCGAGTCGGACAAGAACCGCAACCAACACCAACCTCACAACACAGATAACATGTAACACAGAAAAGGGTATCAATACCTCGAGTCGATAGAGTAGCTCCAGCACCCGCGAACCGTCCAGCAGCGTCGCCCAGTCCACCTCCACCACCTCTCGGCCCGAGGTAGAATAACAACCGCCCTTTCCTCCTCCTTGAACGCCCCCCACGCCGGAGGCGTCCCCGTCGACGGTTTCGCGCTCGCCGCCCAGGCGGAGGCGTTCTTCGTCTCGGTGTTCGTCGTGACCGTCCACGTCGTCCTTGCCGTCGTCGGCACCACCGACACGCACGCCGAGCCTATGTCGTTGTTGGGCGTGTTCGTGTGTGTGTGTGTGTTGGCGAGAGACGGGGTAGGTTTGGGAGGGGGAAAGCTTGTCAGTTTTTATCCTGGTAGACAGCGTTTGCTTTGTTGCTGGAAGATTGTGGCGCCACAACAGTAGCAACGCCGATTAGTATCCGCATAGCTTCGAGACCGTCAACACTCAAGACACGCGGAGGTATTGCAACGTCCGGAATTCGACGATGACAACAACTAGTCAACAACATCTGCAGCAGCAGCAGCAGCAGCAAAAGAAGGCAACATCTTAAGCTAAAGCAGTCCCCCCAGACAAGCAAGGCCCCCCAAAAACAGGGCAAAAGCCACTGAGTGCTCTATCTAGTAAGCGCAATAATCTATTTAGAACGTCAACCACAAGTTCCCCCAAGAGTTCATAGAGGTGTCAGCACGCAACAGACAGGAGAGAAGCTTGCACAAAGCACCGTGTGTGCATGGCAGCTAGATGTACGTGTAAGCCCGAGCCGGGACGAGACGAACCTGCCACCCATAGTCCTGAGCTCTTTGTGGATGCGTTCGTTGACCGGCAACGTCTGGACCAACGCCCTCGTCACGTCCACCAAGGAAGGCGGGCCCACCTCCATCAGCCTGAAAGTTCCAACAACAATCCGCAAAAAATGGCACGACGGCAGCCCAATCGGCAACAAAAATCAGCCCAGACGGCGGCAGACGACGGCATCGCCAAAAAAAAGATACTGGTAATCTGGTGTGCGTGCGGGTGGGTTTGGGGTGTAGACCAAGGGCAAAAGAGTTTTTCACGGAGGGG